TAGGAGTCTGGACGGGGGGAGGAGGAGGAGGAGGAGGAGGAGAGAGAAGCGCCACCCGGGAGGAAGAGCCTCTCACGCTGCGAGGCCCAAAAGACCCCGCCAGATTTGCCTTCCTTGCATTCGCCACCAGCGGCTCAACCTCCCGAGCGTAGAGGCAAAGGGAGCTCTTCAAATGCCATCCGCTTCCCGGACTCGGTGCTCGACGTAAACTCCGAGCTACCCTCCCAAGACCGCTTCACGGGGGGGAGCGAGGCTCGCTGATTTCGATGGACTTCCGTTTCGAGTTGATGTGCTTAAGAGCACCCTGCGAGGTCCGCAGCACAACAAAACTGTTTTGTTTTCTAAAACACTCAGGGAACTTAATACCCTGCGGCTAATTTTGATGTTAATCAAGCTTCTATGTCATACGTGTATCTGTATCTATTCAGGAACAAAATGTGGTTGGCCTCACACATTCATATGTATATGTGTGTGTGTGTGTGTGTATATATATATATATATATATACTGTATATACAGTACATAGCCATAAGAAAGGAATATGTATGTATACATCTGAATGATATTTATTTATTTAGGCCATACGATAGGAACATTCCAGTTCAGACAGGCATTTATCAGATATTTTTATTTCAATGTCTTTATTTTAACCAATGCAGCCTTCTGTTGTATTAATCCTTGTTATTGTTAGAGGCCCATACTTCATGGGAAATTTTAATATTAGCTCTTCTGAATGGGTTTGTAAGGAACGTAATTGAGGAAATAAATGAATACACCTCTGTAGGTGAGGAAGCATTTGGTGTGGCTTCAAGGATTAAAAATTATAGTTTATGTAAATTCAGCTGAGATATTTTGGAAGCCACAAAATAATTGAGATTAACACATAATGAAATGAGGCACCACTCATTACTTCGCCTTTGGATTTGTTTACTCAGTCATGGCCTTGGGAAATTGGAAAGCATGAATAACAAGGACCTTGTTTTTCATATGCGTGTCTCCCACAGTATCTGCCTGATCACTATGATCTTGCAGGTTAGGCACGCTCTGGGTTCTTTTGATTAAACAATGTCATCTATTGGGACTCCAGAAGCGCACCTTCTCTGGAGCAGCACTTGCCCCTGAGATCTGGATGGCCCCCACTCTGTTGTTGTTCAGAAGAGTCATGAAGTCCTGGCTCTTTACCCAGGCCTTTCGCCAGGGAGAGAGAGACCTCTCACTTCATCACACTTGCCATCTTTTATCGGTTTCATTTTAATTTCTATGTTTAATTGTTGTGAGCTGCCCAGAGTCATTGGGAGTTTGGCGGCATCCAGGTTTAATAAATTATCATAATCATCATCTTGGGCCAACTCCTGTACTTCATACTGTATAAGATACAGATGGAAAAGAAAAAAAGGCTCATAAGTGCTTGCTTTTATCATTAGCTTGAATCTCTAGCTGCTTAAGTGGATATGACAGAGGAAGGAACATAGATAATACTATAGTTCAGTAACCTGTCATCAAGATCCACTGAATTCAGTAGGACTTCTTTCTAAGTATGTACAGCATCCATAGAATTTGCTTTGCTTTCAATCTGTGCAACCCTAAACACTATAATTTTCTATGGGGAGATTAAATCCCACTGAAACTGAACTGGGAGCTTAAATAAACATGGACTGCAAGACAATAGCCAGAGGCAAGATGGGAAAGACAAATTAGTCTCAAACTAAGCATCAGATAGCATACTTAGTTTCTTATATTAATTTTACTTCCAGTTGGAGTAGTTGGAAATTATTTCATCTTGGTTTAAACATAATCATGGTTTGTTTAATTGTAACAAAAGGAAGGTTCAAGCACACAGATCATTACACTACTATCTTACTTTTGGATGGGTCCATTTCATTTCCTCACTGTTAGGCATTAGACTACCTAAATTTATTTCTACAGGGAATAATAAAGACACTAAAACACTGATTGTACACATTTGTAGTAATTTAGCTGATTCTTAGAGTGGAGTGGGTAAAAATTATTAAGAAAGTGTATATGTGTATGTGTATTGTGTTTAAATTATATAACACTTGTAAAGTGACAACCTGTAACGGTATGTGGGAAAGACCTTGGGAGACTGGGCAAAGAGACACTGCCAAGGGAGCGGTCAGAGAAGAAACAGCATAGCCCAGAACTGGATAGTGGGAGGGGCAAGAGGCTCAGAAGAGACCCTCCCTAGTTTCTCAGGCTGTAAAGGAAATGTTGGAGGGGGGGAGGATTGTACTTTCAGACTTCAATATTCTATCAGTGTAGCTTTACAATAAAGTAGAATGAGCTCATCTGGGTGTGATTCCTGTTTGGTTTACCCCGTGAGACTGACACAACCCTAAGTAAATAATTCCCATTGATGCTATGGAGAAAGTCTGCATAGCATTAGTCTCCATAGATACAGGGTTGAATTATAGGGGCTATTAGTTGCTAAAGAAAATGAAAACCAGGTTCATCACAATTACAGTACTTTTACTATGGTGTTTTACCAGTTATATAACAGGTTTATCACATTTTGATTGCCCCTTCTATTTAAGTAATTCCTGGAAGCATATATATGCAGTGTATAAGTTTACTTCCTGGTAACCTTGTAAACACAGATTCAAATTCAGTTACAGCTGAAACAAAAGCAAAGATAAAAAAACAAACTTTCTGTATATTATTTAGTTGAAATATGCTGAGTTTTCCACATGTACTAAAACAAAAACACTGAAAAAAGGATAACTCTTGATGTTCCATGATTCATAATAAGCATTGCTTCTGAGTAAATATATTTATGAATGAGATATAACAAATTAATTGCAACACTTGCTATATTCAGCTGGGAAAATCTAAATGAAACAGCATACAGTATATGACTAAGTCAGCTGACTTTTTATATAATATTAACAAAGTATTTTGAACTTATATATTTATAAAAAATTAGCAGGTATTGATGGGATCTCTAGTTTACCAACATCAATCTTGTGTATACTGAGTTAGTGAGGCTTTATACACATCAGTGGTAGGAAATGGAAGAAAATAACAAAGAATTCTGCAAGGCTTATTTACTATTCCAGCCAGGAATACACATACTCTGTGTCCTCTGAAATGATGTCCTTCCCCCCAAGATCTGGGTGGCTCCAACCCTACTGGCATTTCAGAAGGCCTTGAAGCCCTGGCTCTTCGCCCAAGTCTTTGGCTAGGATTGGTGTAGCCCCTTCTGAGGATTGGGTGGGTGTTCTGTTGCTGCCCAATTTTGCCATCTTTGTTTTCTGGATTATCTTTTTTATTGCTATATTGTTTTATATTTTTATAGTTCTTGTGTTTTCTTGTGAACTACCCAGAGCAGTGTTTCTCAATCTTGACATTAAGATGTATGGACTTCAACTCCCAGAATTCCCCAGCCAGCTTGCTGGGGGAATTCTAGGAGCATGCTGGCTAGGGAATTCTGGGAGTTGAAGTCCATACCTCTTAAAGTTGCCAAGCTTGAGAAACATTGACCCAGAAACTGCTAATATGAGAGATGTCTTAAAAATATTCTGACTGCTATGTATCCTTTACTGTACTTCTAATATTTGTGTGTGGGGGGGCAGCTCTGCTCCTTGATTTGTTCCAATATCATGCTGTGCTTGAATATTTGTAAATAAAACAAATAGTAAAATATATCTCAAATGCTCTTTCCCCCAAGATAGCTAAAACACATGACTTCTATTTAAACAACTACAGGTAGTCCCCAGTTTAAGAACAAGTACCATTCCCAAGGTCTGTCCTTAAGCTGAATTTGTATGTAAGCCAGAACAGTATTATTGTATAATACTGAATAAGTAGTATTGTGTAATTAACTTGAACCATTGTGTATTTAACTTGAATCATTGTATATTTAACTTGAATTTTGCTGCAATAGGCTCTGTTCTTAACTATGGGTTGTCTGTAAACTGGGCATTCTTAACCTGGGGACTACCTGCATTTTCTTTTCCTAGAACTTTACCCTGTTGTATTCTTTGATGGCTGGAAGCCAGGAAAAGGCCATTGCTTGTTGGAGGTGAAAGAAGAGAATGCAGAAGTTGGTCTGCTGTTTAAATTTTTTTTTTAAAAAAAACCCTAAGATGATGTCAATAGGCAATGCCAACTCAGTATAAATAGGTCGAGAAGAAGTTGAAGTAACAGTGTTTTATCTTCTTAGACTCAAACATTCACAGGGAAGGTGTTTGTGGCTGTAAAGTAAAAAAAAAAAAAGTCTGCTACTTGGGAGAAAGACTGACAGAGCTAGCAAAATATTAAAATGCAGCAATATGATACTGACCACACAGGTAGAGCTATAGATTTCCCAGCTGTAACAGATAGCTGTGAAAGCTGGACCATTAGAATGAACGAAAGAATTAAAAATGATGCCTTTGAATTGTGATTCTGGAGAAAATGGTTAAGAATACCTTGGATCACAAGAAAAACAAAATGTTCTGTATTAGATAAAATAAGTACTGCCCCCTGTAAGTACTAAATGTCAGGCTAAAACTTAGATAATTTGGACACACAATGCATACACAAGACTCACTGGCAAAGACCTTGACGCCTGGACGAAAGGATGGTAACCAAGAAAAGGCCAACAAAAGTGGTTAGATACCACCCACGATAACAAAAGCAAGAGCTTACAACGGCTCAAGGAAACAGTTACTGAGCTGTCAGAAAATCCTGGCGAAATGGTATCCATGGGAACACGGGCCTCCAACAGCTTTTATAAGAGTACTGGAATTGCAGATAACAGTCGGAAACGTCTGAACAGCAACGAACACGCATCACGCTAAGGCATAATCAAGAACGATCTTGTGATCTATCCCAATATGTGAAGAAAAAGGAGGAAAACTGCAACACCCAAAGCGTCGGATCCAAGCTTTCCACAATTATCAGCATTATTGAGGGGACTGTTTTCTTTCAATGCATGATTTCACCCCTTAGTCCTCCGACAGCCGCTTTAAGTTAGAAACCAGAAGTGCGGGCTGCACACGACGCTCACCTATTTATCTCTATGGTGTTCATGAACACCCCCAAACTGATGGCTCGAAAACGAGAGAGTCCTCTAAAACACACGGAGGCGCTCTCCGCTCTCGAGGCACCGTTACTTCCGGCTGGATCGCCTTCCGTCACTCGCTATTCCTGCGATTTCCAACCTTTTTTCCCCTTCCTGCCCCCAACAACCTTTGAATGACAGACTATGGAAGAAAGATGAGGGCATTGTCATGGCAACTTCCGGGAAGCAGGCAAAAGAGCCAATCAGATGGAGGCTCTAACGAGGGAGAGGCGATGACGTCACGGAGTGGAGGGCGCGGCTTGTACTAATTTCGCGCGGGAAGTTTAGTTGGCTCGTAGCGTTTGTAGATTGCTGCTGGTCGGTGAGTAGGTTTTTTTTTTTATGGATTCCCCTCTTGTTTAGTTGATGTCAAGCGTTTCTAGTGGTGTGATCCTAAACGCGTTTTGTTTATAAGTTAGCCTTACTGAATTCTAGAGTGTTTTCTTTTATACAAGTATGCGACCAAAATCCTGCGGTGGTCTATTTCCGGAAGTATGCCTTTCCTTAATCTGTCTCTCTTCAGATGTGTGGGTACCATGATTCTCTGAAAGAATATTGTGGAAAATATTAGAGTTCCGACAGATATGAAAGGTACTACCTTCGACAACGTTATTCCTCCTCCTCCTTAAATGGCGGCGGGTACTCACACAATGCTCAACTAAAACGCATCTGCAAAATTTGTAGTTAAATGTATTGGATGAACTGAACTCATCCATTGTGGTTAATTTACAGCTCAATATATTGTGTGGAATCACCCGGTTGGATTAATTGGGAAGCTATGGATTATTTAATTGGCATGTTTTGCAAAGACAGATAATGTAGAAATACAGATAACTGCATTAATTTGGCAAGTCATATATTTTTAGTCATCAGACACTAGGCAGTTAAGGTCAGATGTGGTTTACTGAAGCTTCATGACTGTCATTTCTTTTAACCTGAAGATTAAGCTGCTAACCAAGGAGCAAAAGGAATGCAGGGTACAAATATGGTTTTTGTAATAACTGAGAGACTGGCCTCAATTCAGTTTTATAAAAGTACTTGTGGACAGGTGTCTAGCCTCCTGCTGCCCATATTTTCCCTTTGGAGGCAGCAAAGAGATTCTGCATGGATGTTGTTCATTTGCGGTAAAGATGTCCTCAAGCTGAGTTCAACTCCTGGTGACTGCCTCATGCTGTTTCCTTGCCAGTATCTTGGTATTTTACGAAACATAAAGTTTGAATTGCTTTTAAAATTATGTAGCTGTGTTTGGGGAGAAAATCATAACATCAAATACATGTAACCAAGCCTAGAAGCAACTTTATTGCAGAATAAAACTTGTATTCTAGTGTACTTAATTAATTTTCTGAACCATGCTTATCCTTTTCAGTCCTGATTGTTTATTCCCTATTTTATTAAGGTTTTACAATATTCTTTATAGGTTTTTGTGGAAAAAATGCAATTTTCTTCAAATGGCAAACGGGGATTTTTGAAATTGGGGGATAAACAAGAGTTATATCCTCTTAGTGTCCAGTTCTATCTGCAGCCTCCTACTGAAAATATTTCTCTGATGGAGTTTGAAAGTTTTGCAGTTGATAGATTAAAACGTGAGTATATAGAATATATAACACAAAATGGTTGTTTCATTATGTTTAGCTTTTCAGAATGATCCAAGTTTATATTTCTGTGAAATTCCATGGAATTGTATATATCTTCATCTTTTTCATAGTTAGAGTTAATATATTTAGAATTCTGTTCAGTATGGTAGCTATCATAATTTATGTGTGATTGCTATAATCTGTTTTTTATTGTTAGTTTATATTCATTGTGTGAAATGAATTTTTTCAGATACTGTATGTTTTTAATCACTGCTCCACCATCATGTTTCAAGACTCTTGTCTGGTCTTTGCAGTACTCAAAACGGTTGAGAACCTGGGTGTGAGTTATATGAAAGGTGGTGATTCTTACAAAGAAAAGCTACAGTTGGAACTTCGGCAACTTAAATTTCCATATTATGTAAGTTAAGGTGAATAATATGCCCTTGATGCTTGGCACCCAGGATAAAATAAAATACCGTCTGAGGAGAGAGCCAAATTAAATGTCTTTTGGATGTAGTGGGATCTGCAACTTTGAATTTGGTACTCCTTCCTGTACTTCCAAATGATTGTGTACCTAGTTCCAGTTGATGGCCCTTGTAATAAACTATGAGGTTAGCCCTGCTATTGCCTGTATAAATGACTGGCTTTTTATCATTCTTACAGCAAAATGTTTAAAAAATTTGGTAAAATTCAACATTGTAGAAAACAAAAGTAGATTAGGATTATACTTCTCCTTCCTCCCTTACCTCCCACCTTCCTTCCCTGGTAGACTCCTTAACTACCGAAAAAACTTTTCCAGAGAGTTCAGGTGATAGACAAACAGGGTAATCTCTGTGGGTTGGGTTTACAGTGCTGTGGTGGGTGTAATTGGCTCAAATTAGACAAAAGTGTCTTGTAAAGGGTTTTCCTCTAATTACAATTAATAAAACATAGCTTGTACTGTTTTGTAGGCCTTTAATTCTCTAAAGAATGCTTTTTAGAGAGGGGGTTGCAGGAGATTGAAGGTATAGGAAGGAAGAGAAAAACTGGTTATATGAGCTTGCCTTCTATTTACATACTGTTACCTTTCACATAATGTATGATATGTTATACTGTATGTGATGCAGATTTTCTTTTACTGATGTATTCTTTTCTAATTAGGCTTTGATTGAAGATGATTATGATGCAAGAAGAAAAGACCATATTTCTCACTTTATACTGCGTCTTGCCTACTGCCAAACGTAGGTACTATTTGTCTAGTTATTATACTGTCTAGATGTTAAAATCTACAGTACATTATGATTTCAGATGTATTTCATGCTGTATATGTTTTGGAATTGTGGTTTCCAAAATGGGCTAGAAAAATCTCTAAGTTGGAACAGTAGGAGGAAGGAAACAAGCATTTCGTTTGCAGATAATATTAAATTTTTTACACTGCCCGACTCCCAGCAACTCTGGGTGATTTACAAAGTAAAAACACAGGAAAAAAAAACAATAAAGACAAAGGAAGATGGCAAAACCAGGCAGCAACAAAAACATATACACGTTATTCAGAAGGGACTTCACCTACCCTATGCTAAAGCCTGGGTGAAGAGCCAGGTCTTTAAGGTCCTCCAAAATGCCAATAGGGTGGGAGTTATCCAGATTTCAGGGGGAACCTCATTCCAGAGGGCAGGCACTGTGTCAGAGAAGGCGTGCTTCCAGGGTCCCAGTAGATGGCACTGTTTAATCAAAGGAAGCTGGAGCGCACCAACCCTGTTGGATCGAATCACTCCAGCAGATGCTACGGGAGATAGGGCCTCAAGTAATCAGGCCCTATGCCATATAGGGCTTTATAAGTAACAGCCAGCACATTGGCTGTAGATATGGTCTTTCCTTGAATATAATACCTTTTTGGTGGACGTTGTTTATAATGCATGATTACTGAAAGAAAAAAAATGGAAATCAGTCGTTGCTGTGAGATGAAAGTGATTTTTCTTTGTCAAAAGATTGATAAAACCCCATAAATGCTGTTTAGGTGGCCAGGAGATAGAGCAAACATGCTCCTTAAAGTATATGCATGTACACTTCAGTGAACATCATTCATTCATTTAACAAGCTTATATGGCTGCCCAACTCTCACACAGTGACTCCAGGCAGCTTACAGAATTAAATGAATTTCACAAGCAAATAAGCAAAATTGCAGGGTTTTTTTCTATAAAAAATCTTTCCTATATTGGGAAAAATTAAAGCTCAAATTTGGGGAACAAGCAATGATAAAACTTTTATGGTTCTACAAAACAAGTTATCAGAAGAATCCTGGCTCTTCCATCAGGAGTTTCAGCAACATTTCAATAAGCAGAAATTGGCTTACCACTTATGACAGCAAGGATTAATAAATTAATATTGCAAAATTGAGAAAAGTTGTTTCAAATAGCAGAAAATCATTTACCATCCATTAATGGAGTGGCTTCATAGAGCTTTGGCTAAAAGCAAATACATTTTATCATATATACATCACTTCCTGTCCCAAGATTTCTGTGCCATGCAGAAACTTTTTGAAAGGGTATCTTTATAATATTTTAACAGATGCTAATTTATGTTGCCTTTGGGATTTATTGGTAAGCTTCAGATTCTTATAATGAATATCCTTTTTAATTCTTCAAGTAAGCTTTCTGTATCATGTGGTGTCCTATTTTAAGGTGGTTCACAAATTAAAACAAACAGGCCTAATTTTACAATGCATGTGGTAGTATGTTAAGAGAACCAAAGCTGATTATCTGCTAGAGATTTTAGTAGTTCAACAGTGCCACCAAGAGGTAAAGGTTTACATTGTCATTGTTTTTATTCATAAATATTTGGTACTAGAGTTTGATTTCACAATTATTAGTTCTTAATTTATTTACTTATGAATGAAAAGAACACTTGCTGGTTGTATATTTGGCATATTCAGTATGTAAGTTTAAACAAAATACTGCTGTGTTAAAGAGTTGTACCATGTGTTATTTTGCTAGTTATGTTTATTGAATGTAAAAAATATTACAATTGAATTTTCCTTAAAAGTAATAATTAGTTTAATAATATAATGTAACTATATTACTATATTATATAAAATAATTATATAGTTTAAAAAAGAAACCTAAGCTATTAAGGTGGGGAAAAAAACCCTATATTAAACTACCTAAAAGCAAAATGCAAACAAAGAGGAAAAAATGAACCCAAGGAAATAGGAAAAAATGAACCCTTGTAAATTGAACTAGGAAATCAGTTTAATAAAGTGAAACACCTAGTTACCTAAATTATATCTGTTTCTCTATAGATAGAAATACATCAATATAGTGTTACGTTGATTTTCCAGTTTATATATATTAGTATAAAATATACCATACTATAATAGTAGCTTACATAGATAAATTATATACATACATATAAATTATATACAGTATATACACAATTGAACCTAGATTATACAGAAGTATTTTGTCCAGTCTTGCCTCTCTGAAAGTACAAAGTTGATATAAAGGCTGAGGGTTATAATATTTTATTAAGCCTGCTATTTTTTTAAAATGGTAATAGTAGATAGTTGATTTAACTTCAGTGCAGCCTTCTCCAACAGATTTACTACCTAATGGTGTTTCAGAGGGTACAAAGGCATCAGGTCTAAACAGTTTAAATAAACATTTTAACTCTATCTATTGCCATTCAGCTTTTCTGGGTAAATTATATTCCTTTTGTAGAATTTCTTACACGGTTGAATGAAATAATCCTTTTAAAATTATGTGTTATATTCCTAAAAAATCAGTCTCCAACTCACTGTTGTCTAAAACTAGCCTCCTAACTGAAGTGCAAGTACTTGCTGCAATTCTCACTGTTTTCAATGAAATTTGTTTTAGTTGCCCTTTAAACATATCTTAGTTATATAAAGCTGTTTAGTGAAAACATTTCAGTAATAATAACCTCAAAGTTTTAAGTTAGAACTGAATTTGTGAATGCTTAGAATTTTTTTGAAACTTAGTAGTGAGTTCTAAGTTCACCAAACTTGATTGCAATACTTTTTATCTTATTAATCCCTTTAAGTCCTAGAATTAACATAGGGACCAATTAATGTATCCATGGAAGGAAGCACTTTTCCCATATGCAGTATGAACTGAAATCCTTTTTCCAGCAGTCTGAATATCTGTGCTGCAGGAAGCTACATCTGAACTTCAGTTTATACTGCATATGGAAAAAGCGCAGTATGAACTAAAATTCAGATGTAGCTTCCTGTAGCGCAGATATTCAGACAGCTGCAAAAAGGCAGCAAAAATAGTTCCACTCTTGTAAGCAAATGCTACTCATAGGAACTCAATAATGATTTAGCAAGAATTTGCAAATGATGAACTGTATTTTGTTCTAATTAGTTGTAAAAACAGAAAACTAAATGTGAGTAAGCATTTTTCCTATCACTTTGAAATTAAGTCTCTAGAGGAACTCTGATGTATGTGTCTAAATCGCTACATTTCATTATGCATTAATTGTGTTATTATAGGGAGGAGCTTAAGCGATGGTTTATCCAACAAGAAATGGACCTCTTCCGTTACAGATTTAGTGAGCTATCTCGTCTCTTAGTTGAAAAGTTTCTTCAATATGCTAATTTGGGATATGATATTGTAAGTACTGTATATTCTTGGAGTACCTAACTCCATAATTGGTTTTAGTTTCAGAGCTCTTACTAAAAGTATATATGATAGTGCAAAAATAATTGCTGCTGTTGGGCTCAACTTCATTTTGATCTGCTAGCTTTTTATTTTAGCAGTTATGAATTTGCTACATCATACATGCTGCAATGATTGTTAGAGTATACATTCTTTTTTTGTTTCCAAGTCACTCTCTTTCAGCCCTAAAAAGGAACATAATGGCAAAGAACTTCTGCAAAATGTTGCCAAGAGAACTGCATGGACTTGTCCATGTAGTTGCCAGAGGGAATTGAAGGCACCACCTGCTACACACCCAAAAAAGTGCCATATGACATACCTTACATTAGTTGTGCATACCTTACTCTGGAACCTCAGCAGGAGTGTGCATGAAATACAAAATATGTTTTGCTTCAGGTGCAAGACAAAATAACTCAAAATATTCCACTGGGACATTCCCATTTAGCTGCATTTTGATGGGCAAAACACAAAACAGGCTGAACGTTCCAGTGATTCAAAATAATGGAAGATTGGGACAAACTTTTTGTTCCATGTTTTGTACCCAGGATCACAACACTAGATGGAGTGGTAATCTTTTGTGACTGCTGTCTGCCAGCCAACTTGAAGAAAAGTTGGCAAAAGGGAGGATTTTTGAAAACTTTTTGAAAGCATTAAAATATCCCAATAGGAAATAAATGATTCCAGGAAATGATACAGTAATCTCATCAATGCTCTTTCAATTAGCACTTCCTGGTTTTGAGATTAAAATTTGAGTCAAGTAAGCAAGTCTCATTCAAGAAAACCAATGAAGTTGTTTAGCTGTTATTTTTTTAAAGTTTGCCCCCAACCTCATTTTCTACTTTGTGCATGCAGATTGCAGGCAACAAGTTGAAGCACATATTTTGATACCTTTTTTTACAGCCTAACTCCCAAAGCAAAAAACAGTGCTGAACACCTAATTGACTTGTGCAGGAACAATTTACAGTACAAACTGAACAATATTTCCTCCATTTGCATTCTAACACCTGAATTTGACATAAAGCAAATGTGCAATCATGCATATAGATACTTCAACTTCCCCCTTCCCAAAACAACCCAATTCTTTTTACAACTTGAAATTCCAAAAGAGAATATAAGGGGAAAAAAATCAGTAACCCAAATCAGCATGCTTTTCCAGAAAATGCACCATGAACAGTATTGGCAGGTTTCTGGAGAATGTGTACACACACACACACAGCTGTATCCCCAAACTTTTATGAAAGCTGCATCTGTGACTAGTGGTTGTACAGAAGAGCAATAGCAATATTTTTTCAAAGTTAAGACAGCAATGAACCAATGAGAATGGAAGTAACCTTGGAAAGTAGTAAGAGTGGTATAGGAAGGAAGAAGTCATGTCTGTAAATAAATAGACTGCTTATCTGGCAGTTCAACACTTAGGACTTCAAGACAAATATGTGAGATGTCTCTTTGGTTTTTAATGTATTTATGAATAAATGTATAAAGAATGCTTGTGATGATATCAGAGGAACATTGGTTTGGATATGATTTACTCTTCTATACAGATACCATGTTGTTGGCTGAAAACACATGATTTGCAGCAAATGTTAGATTATGTTGCTATGATGTTGATAGCATTTGATTCTTGATTTAGGAGGAAGTCACTGGAGAAAGGAGTTTGAAGGGAATGAGTTAAATTGAAGTTTGTGAAGGTCAGCTCGGCTGACAAAGTTGTTATAGTAGAGTACAACTGAATGCCAAAGGTTAACAAGATTTGTCTGGGGGTCTATTGGTTTAAGTTTTATTTCTAAAGAAAAGATCAGAGCTAAGCTCCAAAAGCAGACAACTTAATAAACAGTCTGGAAGAGAATTAAATTAAAAATCTTCGACAAAAGCATGGCATATTAATTTGTACAACAATTTTGGGATGGCTTTTTCTTTTGAACTTCAGCTTTCATTGCACCATATTTTAATACTGATACAATAGGCAGGATCTGAACTAGCCTCTCTGTGAATGGAACAGCTCCTTTCATTCCTCTCCAGGAATGGAATCCAGTAGAGGAAAGGGAGTATGCAGTATGTTTTTGGCAGTCATGATCAGAAGGGATGCAGAAAGGGGTCTCAGGACCCACATATTGTACTGGGGCTCCAGATTGGGCCCCTGGCCTAAGATCATGAACATTTGTTGTCATCTTTTTTTTTTAAGATTTTTTATCCCTCTTTTATTATTTTTATAAGTAACTCAAGGTGGTGAACATACTTAATACTACTTCCTCCTCCTATTTTCCCCACAACAACAACCCTGTGAGGTGAGTTGGGCTGAGAGAGAATGACTAGCCCAAAGTCAGCCAGCTGGCTTTCATGCCTAAGAGAGTCCTAGAACTCTCAGTCTCCTGCTTTCTAGCCTAGAGCCTTAATCACTAGACCAAACTAGCTGTTTTATACTGTTCTTATCCTTCTCCCTTTATGTGTCGTCTTGCATTCAGATTTCACATACAAAAATGCAGGGCAGAAGACAGGATTTTGTAGACCTTTTTTCTGTTTGACCTTAGTTTATAAATTAAACTCAAATCATTAATACTTTGGCATCAGTGTCATAATACTAAGGTTCACTGTAGAATTTTTCATTTCCATTTGTTATATATTATTTTGGCTATTTTTCTAGAAGAAAAGCATCTTTACAGCTATCTGGATATATTTACAGAATTAAAATTTTAAAAGCTATATAGGCACACTGTAAAACCTTTACAGAATCTCTGAGACTTAGAAGAAGAGCTGGTTCTTGGGACCCATTCTATGTGAATAAATGCTTTCATTTAAAATGATGGAGCTTTCCAAAGGAGCCTATGGAGGTGTACAGTTCACATGTTCTTAAGGTATTAAAACATAACTCTATCTGTTGGTGAAGATAACTAATTAAAAGATTTTTATGGACATTCTAAGCAAATATTCAACAATTGCTTTCACTTTTTTTTTTTTAGGAGGAAAAATAATGCCTCATATTTTGAATATGAGGCTTATTTTTTGATGGGAAATGCTGGATTTGTCAGTCATACTAATGTGGTTTGTTTGGTTTTTGTTTAGTGAAATACATGAACCCAGCCATTGTGGCTTGTAACCATGGTTTTTGTTTTAGCGTTGTAGGTGAACCAGGTCTTTGTAGACCGTTATGATTTTTTAATGTAGTTGTGGTTAAACTGGGATGCAGTCATAGATCTTGTATGTCCTATTCACAGCATTTTGCCTATCGTGTAAATTTTCCCTGTTAAGATCAGTAATCATATTTACTGCCATAGTGAAACTGGACTTCTGATTGGCCTAGCCATAAACTGTCATCTTCCCTGAACGTTGAGTTGTGATGGAATTGATTTACTATAAGATATAATGGCCATAATCTGGCATATAGATTCAGTGATTTCAGTCCAGGGTTTGAATCTCTTTTTTTAGAATAATAGTGAATTGCCCCCAGAATGATTCCTATTGGGTTTTATGGACAAGGAATTAGAAAAGAAATTTGGGGAATTAATATTGTATATGCTAACTGTGGCGAGATTATTGTATGCAAGAAGTTGGAAAAGCGATGAAATACCTACAGTGGAAGATTAGATTATAAAATTAACTGAATTTGCAGAAATGGTGAAGCTGACCAATCTGGTCAGAGAAAAAAACAACAAAATTTTTTTTGAAAGACTGGAAACCCTATGTGGACTTTTTGTTGAAAGAAGAAAAGATCAGATTGATGATTTCTGGATTTAGGGATTAAAAAGCGACAAAGAGGATGAGGAAAAGAATAAGATGATAATTACTAGATAGAAGAAAGGGCGGAAGGCATAATTATATGTTTTCTGTTCATTCCCTTTCTTTTTTCCTTATATTCTATCTTTTTGTTTTGTGTACTTTTTGTTTTGCATACTCTTACTATATTGAAAAATTCTAATTATGTACAGTGGGGCAAAAAAGTATTTAGTCAGCCACCAGTTGTGCAAGTTCTCCCACTTAAAAAGATGAGAGAGGCCTGTAATTTTCATCATAGGTATACCTCAACTATGAGAGACAAAATGGGGAAAAAAATCCAGAAAATCACATTGTCTGATTTTTAAAGAATTTATTTGCAAATCATGGTGGAAAATAAGTATTTGGTCAATATCAAAAGTTCATCTCAATACTTTGTTCCAGAAGAGGATTGGGAGAATGTCATATGGTCAGATGAAACCAAAGTAGAACGTTTTGGTCTAAACTCAACTCGATTTGCAAATCATGGTGGAAAATAAGTATTTGGTCAATATCAAAAGTTCATCTCAATACTTTGTTCCAGAAGAGGATTGGGAGAATGTCATATGGTCAGATGAAACCAAAGTAGAACGTTTTGGTCTAAACTCAACTCGATTTGCAAATCATGGTGGAAAATAAGTATTTGGTCAATATCAAAAGTTCATCTCAATACTTTGTTCCAGAAGAGGATTGGGAGAATGTCATATGGTCAGATGAAACCAAAGTAGAACGTTTTGGTCTAAACTCAACTCGATTTGCAAATCATGGTGGAAAATAAGTATTTGGTCAATATCAAAAGTTCATCTCAATACTTTGTTCCAGAAGAGGATTGGGAGAATGTCATATGGTCAGATGAAACCAAAGTAGAACGTTTTGGTCTAAACTCAACTCGCCACCATGATTTGCAAATAAATTCTTTAAAAATCAGACAATGTGATTTTCTGGATTTTTTTCCCCATTTTGTCTCTCATAGTTGAGGTATACCTATGATGAAAATTACAGGCCTCTCTCATCTTTTTAAGTGGGAGAACTTGCACAATTGGTGGCTGACTAAATACTTTTTTGCCCCACTGTATATGTGTGTGTGTGTATACTGTATATATACATACACACATATATATACATATACATACACACACTACTAAAATTCTCATTGTGTTTATCTATTTATTTGTACCCTCAAGTTAGCCCAAATGGTGCATTTTTGA